TATAATATATAATATATATATTTTAGTGTAAGTGTACGATGAGATGATAAAAATACACCACACTAATTTATATGTAGAACTGTACAATTTATTCCAAGTGAAAAGCGTATTTACAAAAACACTTGAGAAACAAGTTGATGATATACGGTATACAAACTGATAGAAAGCGAAAGTAATGTGTACTCAGGGAGGACAAACTGAGGAGTGTCTGTAAAAGTACAAATGTATGTGATATAGCATCACCTTTCATACCATCTGACCAATAAGGATTAGTAATTGCCTGTCCTTGTCTAGTACCTGGGAAACTCATCAACATTCCCAAATGATGTGTGGTCACTTGATTTAAGGCAAATGACCTTAAGGTAAATGACCTTCCTAAGCTTGGTGTATAACCCATGAAGTTTGGATATTAGTTAAAAATGCAAGGTATTATTTACACACAGATCCTATATATACAAATTTACAGATGGTAGTACTGCTACAGGAGCCCTCTACCAGTGAAAACGTTAACGATTGAACGATAAGAAACGGTCAGGAAAATGAACACGTCTACCGGATCGGGTAGTTCTGGGAGGTGTAGGGGGAGGGTCTATCTGAGCAGGGGCTGTTAACTGTGGGGAAATGTTAGGCTCAAGGGTGGAGGTGGGTGTGTGTGCTGTAACCGTATCTAAATGGGCTACTTTTAGGCGGTCAATGCTGACAGTGTCTCGACGACCATTTATGTCAAGAACAAAGTGTTTGTCGGCTCTTCGTAAAACCTTAAAGGGGCCATCGTAAGGATGTTGTAATGGTTTACGAACGGAATCTCTACGAACAAACACATGAGTACAAGTTAGTAAATCCTGACTGATGTAAGATTTACGATTAGGATTGGTGCGGGTTGGAGTGGGATAAAAATTACTCATTATATCACGTAATCTATGCACATAATTAGAATAATCAGTAAGTTCAGAATGTTTATAAAAAAATTGTCCTGGTAATCGTAATGTAGTACCATACACAAGCTCTGCCGCACAATGTCCAAGATCTTCCTTAAGTGCAGTGCGAATTCCTAGAAGTACAATGGGTAAATGTTCAGTCCACTTTGTTGGGTCATTGTATGCCTTGAGAGAGGCTTTCAAAATGGCGATGAAATCGTTCAACAAGTCCATTTGCCATCGGATGATATGCAGTTTGTTTGGTTCCAAGTAATCGTGTTAGTGATTGAAATAATGTAGATTCGAATTGTCGACCTCGGTCCGTGGTTATTGTGGAAGGTACCCCGAAAGAAGAAATCCAGCGATCAACAAAAACGCGTGCGGCAGTTTCTGCTGTTATGTCAGAGATGGGTACAGCCCCCGGCCAACGAGTGAAACGATCAATAAAAGTCAGTAAATAACTATAACCATTGGAGAGTGGAAGAGGTCCGACAATATCAATGTGGACATGGTCAAAACGAGCATCAGGTGTAGAAAAAGTAGACAACGGTGAGACTGTGTGTTGGTGTACTTTGGAGCCCTGACACTGAATGCATGTTTGAGACCATCGGGCGGCGTACATCACGGTTTATACTCGGCCATACAAAACGCTCTGTAATTAAACGTTGAGTTGCTCGAATACCAGGATGAGATAGCGAATGAAGAGTGTCAAAAATTGTGCGACGAAAGTCTGATGGAACATATGGGCGAGGATTACCCGTTGAAACATCGCAAAAACTCGTTGAGTCTGAAGTTGCAATTGGAAATGGCCGGAGTTTAAGTGATGATGATGATTCACGTAGTTTGCACAGTTCATCATCAGTTTGTTGTGCCACTGCAATGCGTTCAAAATCAACCATTGTAGACGAATGGTGCTCAAGAGAGTTAAGTTCGATGCGCGACAGTGCGTCGGCTGCAGCATTATCTTTGCCGCTTACATGACGTAAACCAGAATTGGGAGATAAAGTCTAGATGACGAATTTCCCGTGGAGAGTGACGATCAGCTTTAGCGCGAAAGGCGTAAACGAGTGGCTTGTGATCAGTTAAGATGTGAAATGAGCGTCCGTCAAGAGAATAACGGAAATGTTTTACTGAGAGATACACTGCCAAAAGCTCACGACCAAACGTGCTGTATCGTGTCTCTGCTGATTTAAGTTTTTGAGAGTAAAATGAGATCGGTTGCCAATTGTCGTCAATGCGTTGCTGCAAAATACCTCCTACAGCCATATCCGAAGCATCTACCATAATACACAAGGGTGCATCTGGCTGCGGGTGGGTGAGGAGTGTAGCGTTAGCAAGGGCGATTTTTACGTTCGTGAATCCAGTCAATGCTGCGTCAGTCCAAATGAGATCTTGTTTCTTACCTGTTGCTACAAGTAATGCTGTAACAGGTTGTAAGATCTCAGCGCATTGAGGTATAAATCGACGGATACCTTTGGCATCCACATGGTGTCCTAAGAATTCCAATGATGAAACTCCAAATTGGCATTTTGCTGGATTAAGAACAACACCATACTCATTGAGGCGAGTAAACAATTGTCGCAAATGATTTTCGTGTTCCTGGGCATTAGAGCTTGCAACAAGCAAACTGTCTATATATGCATAACAAAAATCAAGTCCGCGTGTCACTTGATCGATAAATCTTTGAAAAGTTTGTGCGGCGTTGCGTAATCCAAAAGGCATGCGAACGAACTCAAACAAACCAAATGGGGTAGTTATAGCGGTTTTTGGTACATCGCTGGGCTTGACAGGGATTTGGTGATATGCTCTGACGAGATCAATTTTAGAGAAAATGGTTGCACCATGTAATGTGGATGTAAAATCTTGCATGTAAGGTATAGGATACCGATCAGGAAGAGTGACATTGTTGAGTGCACGATAATCACCACAAGGACGCCAATCTCCAGGGGATTTCTTTGCAACCATGTGCAGGGGTGACGACCAGTTACTGTCAGAGGGGCGGATTATACCAAGCTGCATCATATGTTCAAATTCATGTTGTGCGATCTTGCAACGGTCGGGCGCAAGGCGACGGGGACGTGCAGATATTGGAGGGCCGTTGGTTGTAATGTGGTGTGTTACATCATGTTTCAGAGACGCCTCCTGATAACATGGGCGTGTTATTGAAGGAAACTCTGAAAGAATGTTATCAAAGTTGGACTTTGATAACCCACGACTGTGTTGATCATAAGGTTGAGTGGTGGGCATTTCGAAAGTATACCCTGAATACTTAAATTGGTTGTTGTGTCCACTAATCGATGGTGAGTCATGTCGACAAGGAGTCCAAAATGTCGTAGAAAATCGGCGCCTATAATGGGGTGCGACACATCCGCAATCACAAAAATCCATGAAGACTTGCGACGTAATTCCAGATCAAGAGTAATTGAACGGTGTCCGTATGTTGCAATCGATGAATTGTTAGCCGCGTTTAAGTTATAATCATGTCGCCTGTTTTTACGTTCATGTCGAGTTGGTGGAACAACGCTAACTTCTGCATCAGTGTCGATGAGGAAGCGTTGGTTAGAAAACTTGTTCGTGATAAAGAAAAGGCGACTTACAAGATGGCAAGCAACGTTCGTCGCTTTTAGTTGTTGGCGTTGGCGTTTCCCGAACACGGTGGAAGACATTTGCGTGCATTATCACCAAATTTCAAAATTGGTACAAAGTGATGGCGTCTTATCATCGGCTGATCGTGAAGAGCGATTGCGCGATGAAGAGCGATTGCGACCATATGATCGACTGCGATTTCGGCTTCCGCTTCTGGGTCGAGATAGTTGATCCGCTTGCCAAGATTCAAATTTTTGGGTCAATTGTTGAATCTGCAATTGAATTGTGTGAATTGTGGCAGATTGTGAGGGCAGTTCCTCTGGGTGGACGGAAGAAACAGTCGGCGATGGCACAGATATTGGGGAGGTGGCAGATACCTCCAATATTTTGTTGGCAAGTGTAGTTAGGCCTGGCATATCTAGCTCATCTTTTGCAGAAGCCAAAATTAACTGAACATTGGCTGGAAGACGACTTAAGAACAATTGCTTTATAATTGTTGGTTCAAGGGTTCGGTCGCAGAGCAGTTGCAACATCCTGCGTTATCATTGGGAGGGTTTTCGATCTCCTAACTCCTCCGCTGTCAAAAGTTGTCGGAGACGCTTTTGATCGGAGTCAGATGTCCGTTTTATTAATCCCTCCTTTAATTGTACGTATCTATTGTCCTGTGGCGGGTGAAGTAGGAGATCGCGCACTTCTTGGGCTATCTCCGGTTGCAAGGAGCCCACCAAATACGCGTACTTCGTAGCGTCCACCGTGATATGCCTGGTTGTAAACTGTGCCTCAACCTGTGTGAACCTAATGTTGGATCATTGGGCCAGTTAGGGAGGAAGTTTCAGAGAAACTGATGATATTGCAGGCGGTGCAGCATCTGAAGCAGATACGACAGGTTGTTGCTGTTGAACTTGTTGCTGTTGTCTTTCCATTATTAACTTGATGCAAAGAGTGTGTACTGAAACGTCGGAGGTCACCACTTTAGTGAAAGTGTACGATGAGATGATAAAAATACACCACACTAATTTATATGTAGAACTGTACAATTTATTCCAAGTGAAAAGCGTACAAAAACACTTGAGAAACAAGTTGATGATATATACAAATTGATAGAAAGCGAAAGTAATGTGTACTCAGGGAGAACAAACTGAGGAGTGTCTGTAAAAGTACAAATGTATGTGATATAGCATCACCTTTCATACCATCTG